AAAAAAAAAAATGTGTGGAACAAAATCAAACAGCCGTATTCTCGGAATACGGTTTTCTAAAAAAAAAATTAACTATAAAAACGTATTCCGAGAATACGTCTTATATTTTTTTAAAAATAAAAAAAAATAAAACTTTGATTAAATATATTATTCTAATATAAAAAAAATAATAAATATAAAATGGAAAACGTATTATGGAAATACGTTTTACACATAAACGTATTTCCATAATACTTTTTTCAGAAGAATTTAAAAAAACATATTTTTAAATTAAAACGTATTCTGAGAATACGGTTTACAAATAAAACTGTCGGTGGACGTATTCTCAGAATACGTTTTTAATATTAAATATAAAAAAAAATCTTTTCCTCTCCATTTCATACGCGAGAGAGCAGAAAAAAAGAAGAAGAAGAAGAAGCGAAAAACTTCGGAAAAAAAAAGTCGATCCAATCTTTACCTCGGTGTGAATCGACAACACCGATACGAGCCTCATTTTCGATTAATTCATTCGCACGAGGTATATTGGCTTATCTTTACTTTTTATATTATTTGGAGTTGTTTGGAGATTGAGGATTGTTATAATATGTTTGAATGTGGTTGTGTTTGAAGATTGAAAATTATTAATTGTTTATCGATTATGTGTGTATGTTGAATTGAGGATTGAAATTTTGTGTGTAAATTGTCAATTGTTTATTGTTTGATTGTTGTTGGGGTTAGGGTTGTTTGAAATTAGGGTTATAATTAGAGCTTTCAATTTATTCGAATTATAGATGAATTTTATGTTATTGTTCGATTATGAGTATTAGGTTTTGGATGATTATTTGATTGAGAATTTATTTTAATTTTTTTTTTGGTGGAGTAAAAAATTGAGTTTTAAATTTTATTTAGAATTGAAAGTGTATTTTTGCAACAGGTATAAAATGGCTTCTCCCGGTCCGTACCTTGTTAACTTGTACTGGCATTTTGGGAAGGAAATGTTAAGTGATTTTGTTTCGTTTAAAGATCGTCCGAGTGGTTCATTTATTATTCCGGGGAGAATATCATATGAACAGTTGGTACAAATGATTAATGCAAAATGTCAGTTTGAAGAAGGTTGGACAATTCAGGAGATTACTATGATGATTAGCCAACCTGATGGTTCATGGAGTCCTGCAATACTCAATAACGATAGTTTTGAATGGGTTTATTACTTTCCTAGTATGTCCATGGTGTATTTTCATTTATCGTTGCAGGCGAATACACCCGTTACACAGTTTGAGGATTTTACTCCTTGTTACGGGGGAGTGTTTGATGTCGAGGGTACATCGACTTCTCATGTACCTAATTTTGGAGAAGGGACATCGAGAGAATGGGCGGCGGATGAGGACGATGAAGATTTTATTCCCGATGAAGATGACTTCACAGACGAGACCTCAGAAACCGAATCAGATAGATCGGTTAACGAGGAGAGTGAAGCCGAGTTCTTCGAAGAAGAACACCCATTTCCTAGCGGTGGTCGGCACATATACCGCGAGATGGGTGAATGGGACCCCTCCAGGATAGATGCGAACGAGTATGCTATTCCACTCTGGAATGGCGACATTGAGTCCATACGTTTGAATACAGTATTCCGGAGCAAGGAAGAAGCTCAAACGGTTATAATGGCTTGGAACGTCGATAGGTTGCGGGAGATTCGGTCAAAAGATTCAAATAAGAAGACATTCAAAGTAGTCTGCAACTCGAATGCTGATGTGCCTTGTCTGTGGAAGGCTCGGGTGAATAAGGCCAAACGGCGTGATGATTTGTGGGAAGTAACTGAATGGACTGACCAACACACTTGCATGCAACAGTCGACAGAAATGACCACAGAAACGTGACCGCCCATATGATTGCGAATCTTATAATTAATAAGATTCAGAGGAAAGTGGAGTTCAACATTAACATGGTCCAGGCTGATGTGAAGCAATGTTGGAAAGTCGACGTCAGTTACAAGAAGGCATAGCACGGCAGGAAAAAAGCAATCGAGTGTGTGTACGGTAGTTGGGAGTCGAACTTCGGAGAACTCCCTCAGTAAGCAAAAATTAATTACAAATATACGTGTTTTTTATCTGTCATTATGTTTATTTATTTATGAATTTATTGGTATTGTACATATATTTTGCCGAACTTCAAAGAGCGAATCCAAACACAGTTGTAGATTGAGAATTTCAGGGTGGTGATATGGCGCGACACGTTCCAAACAGAGAATTCAAATTTGTGTTCTGGGCGTTTGGTCCCGCGATTCAAACCTTCCAAATGTGTCCGCCGGTTATTAGCGTCGATGGCATTCATTTACGTGGACATTACAAAAGAAAAATGCTCGTGGCTGTAGCACAGACTGCGAATAAGCGGCTATTGCCAATCGCGTATGCGCTTGTCGACGAAGAAAGCACGGACAGTTGGTCATTTTTCCTCAGGAATCTGCGGCGATATGTTGTAGGCGGCTCTACACAGATATGCATTCTTTCTGACAGGGATGCGGGGCTACGCAGTGCGATTGAATCATTACTGGATTGGCAAGAACCCCCTGCGTATCACCGGATTTGTCTTCGACACCTTCGAAGCAATGTGGTGACTAGGTTCAGGAGTAAGAAAATCCGGGATTGGTGTTGGGAGTTGGGTTCGCAGTTGTCGAAGCAAAAGTTTCGACAGACAAAAGAGCGACTTCGTGAATTTAATCTCGACGCATACAATTACCTTCAACATTCCTTTGGACCGGTGGACCCTGTATGGAGATGGAAGACGTAGATGGGGCACCTTGACAACGAACATGTCGGAGAGTTACAACAACGTCCTGAAAGGTGTTAGGTTCTTGCCGTGCAGAGCTTTGGTAGACGCTACATTTCACAAAACTCTGGATTTGTTTCGACAAGAACAAAACAAGTCCAGCAGATGCAGGACTCCCATTGCTAGGGAGCACTATGCCGCATTTGTGCAGCTGGAGCAAACAGCCGCAAATCACAAGGTGGATTGTACAGACTACAACAGATCCATGTACGCGGTGACAACCGGTCTACGTGCTAGTGGAAGAGGGCAAAACAAGTAAGTATATGCTTTTTTTTTTTATTATTTTTTGTTCATTCAACTTTTTTATTTTGTATATATATAAATCAATTTGGAAATACAGGTATAATGTTGATTACACCGCACAACGTTGTAGTTGTCGGAAGTGGCAGACGCATATAAAACCGTGTTCTCATGCAATAGCTGTCTGTCGTAGAATTTTGGGTGACCCAAAGTTGCTGTACGATGAGCACTTCTGGACGTCGACCTGGGTAGCTCAATTTACTAATTGGAGTTTCACTCCGATTGGTAATCCAGATACATGGGCAGAGGTGGGATGGAATTTGATTCCACACTGGGAGAGGATCATCTTGAAGCCTGGACCCGGTCGCAAGCAAACGAGACGCTACCGCATGCAAATGGATCGTCGGGCACGACGCAGAAATGAAAGAGGACATTGTACTAGATGCGGTGATCCAGAGCATGTTGTGGATGAGTGTCCGTCCTCACATCCTCGCAGCGATAGGTCTAGACTTCGTGATGTGTGGGGAGATTAGATTTTTTAGTGCTTATTTGGATTTGTTTGGATTGTTCATTTGGATTTCGTTGGATTATTTATTTTGTTTTGTTTGTATGATTTATTTGGACTTAGTTTGATGATACTTATGGTACATTAGTTGATTTGCTCGTGTAATTTTGGTGTAGTTGGTTGTTTGGAATATACATAAAAAAGTGTAAAAGGACGAAAAATGACAAAATCGAGCTGCAGTTGGGTCACACGACTCATGTTAGTAGATGACACGAGTCGTGTGGCTACAAGACAATGAAATTTCAGCTACGAATTTTTCACACGGGTCGTGTGTCTCGTGACACGAGTCGTGTGACGTCACACGACCCGTGTGAGTTGTCGTGTGAGGGGTCGTGTGAGTCTGGGAGTTTTTTTTTTTTTTAACTAAAAACGGATTCTAAGAATCCGTTTTTTAAATAAAAAAAAATAGCAGAGGCTCCCAGATTGAGGACTCGAACCCGGGTCTATGGGTGAGTCTGTTTTCTCTGGACGCACCTCGTACCATTAGGCCGCTCTAGGCTATCGCTGATATTTTGGCACAAAATATTTTCTTATACTTCAACATCAAATTAATACAATTGAAGTCAAATTTGTACAATTAAAGTCAAATTAATACAATTGAAGTCAAATTTGTACAATTGAAGTCAAATTTGTACAATTGAACTCTAATTAATATAATTGAAGTCAAATTTGTACAATTGAACTCTAATTAATACAATTGAAGTCAAATTTGTACAATTAAAGTCAAATTAATACAATTGAAGTCAAATTTATACAATTAAAGTCAAATTAATACAATTGAAGTCAAATTAGTACAATTGAAGTTAAATTAATACAATTGAAGTCAAATTTGTACAATTAAAGTCAAATTAATACAATTGAAGTCAAATCTGTACAATTGAAGTCGAATTTGTACAATTGAACTCTAATTAATACAATCGAAGTCAAATTTGTACAATTAAAGTCAAATTAATACAATTGAAGTCAAATTTATACAATTAAAGTCAAATTAATACAATTGAAGTGAAATTAGTATAATTTAAGTCAAATTTGTACAAT